CTATGGGCTTGTATAAAAGCTATTTTCTAGATTTACCTAGAAATCGTAGGTAATAAATTAGAAAACGTAGGCTGAAGTTATCAGTTGCATCAATTAATTGTAAACAAAATAGTGTAAAAATCATCCAGCAATTAATCCTTTTTAAAAGAAAGAGAAGATTATGTAGTAAAGTAGCAAACATAAGCTGGAATGAAATTGATAAACAATAATAGTATAAAGATTAAGACGTTCGTGAAAAACGAAAAATATTGTTAAAAAACTAAAAAATAAAAATAGAAAAAACTATAAAAAATTAATGACCAAGAAGTTGGTTAAAAGCAAAAGAAACTTATAAAAAACAACCATTTGACGAAATGGATGAGTATGAGGAGGCAATCCTCAATATTCAAAATGCTAATCAAGCTCCAACCATAGAGCACTCATTTAATGAAAGTCAAATGAGGATGATATATGGTGCAATAAATGCACTAGATGCCAAGCTTAATACTATAATTGAGCAATTAAAACCTCCGCAAACTACTTGCGTGTTTTGTCCGGGAGATCACACCCATCATTCATATTCTTGTCAAAACTATATTGACGTGATCCAAAGAACAAAAAGGCTTTCTGACTTGAGAAGATGTATCCTTTGCCTCAAAGCCGAACATCCAACCCCATGTGTGTTCCGGTGTGCACGCTGTAAAGGGCCGCACAACAAATTGTTGTGCAATTCAAAGAAGAGGCGTACCACTCACTAGAGTGTAAAATTACCCTTTATAAGAGAGAGAAATTTGTCTTCTGCTTCAATAGACTTTATCTAAACTGTTGATAGTTCGCTAATGATAAACATTGTATTCTTTCTCTATTTCTTTCTCTATGCCCTTGTTTATTTTGTTATACTTAGAAAAGCAGAGATGTCTAACCATTATAAGAAACTCACCTTGCTTAACAAAATGGATATCGTATGTGAACTTAATGATGGATCTTTTATGGAAAGAATGGAAATGTTGGACCGCATTGAGAAATACTATGATCCAGACGTCTTTCAAAATGACAATCTTATGCGCAGGCTCATATTACCAGTAATAGCCACAGAGTTTCTGAAGCCTCATAGTGAATGTTGGAAAGTAACTCTAATGTTGAGATCGCAGAGAAATGCCTTGTGTTGGATTACCGCGTTTTTGGTTCCTTTGTTTGCCGCCGCAGTATTCTGGACATTCAGAACCAGAGAAAGTTAAGAATCATTCATCAACAGTCTCTGATACGCATTAGTCTCATTTCATAGTTCGGATCTACCGAATCTGAGACATTTAAGTTCAAACATCAGTCGTCCTCAACATGCTTCTACGCTTACTTATAGTTAAAAACAACAACTGTCATTTAGATTCGTTTAAAAAGCTGAGTTTCTATTATTTTGTTCGCTTTTATTTTTGTTCCTACGAAGTTCTTAAATTTTGCTGCTCACTGATTATTCTCTAGCTTCTTATTGTCAAATTACAATCGCTTGAATCTTATTTGAATAAATCTTAGTTGCTTTAAAAACGTGTTCTTCTTGAAGATACAATACACCTCTTAGAACGGTGATAACCGAAGTGTAAGTGACAACCAGATCACACTCATAAACTATAAATCCACTGAACCCCACCGAAACA